CTTAGCAAACTGACTTTGCATAGCAGTTTAGCCTGAAATCAGTTGTGTTGTGACGGCCTAGTACCATTTATTTGACATGTTTATAAACAAGTCCATCGATCGATAAAATGTTTTGTTCTTCCAGCTGATTTCTTATATTAGATGCCTTTGCAAGTGTAAGATAATGAACGCGATTAGTAGTTCTCAAGCTTTAAAAGGAAAGAGCAATTTATCGATCGTCGGATTTTTCGAATAAGTTCGTCAAATAAGCGGTTCACGACGTAGACTGCCATGGCACAATTGATTTGACGTCGAAAAGCTATGTCGAGTCAACTAGCTAGTAATGCAGGTTTGGCGATGCCGCAAGTCGGATGTCTTGAACGATAACCTGTAGTCAGGGGTAAACAGGTATTGGTCCAGGAATCTATTTACATCGCGACGGCGCGCGTCTTGGAAGACTTTACTTGTTAAAAAACCTCCCATTGTTTCCATGTTATCTGTAGCCTGACCGTTTGTTTCTGGAGTATTTCACGGTACTTCTTCGATCCTTATTGAATTTACTAATTTTCCAGGTCCGATTACACAAACAAATGCAAGAAGCCACGGGTGTGCCGTATATGTATGGCGAGTACTCACCACCATCGCAACCATCCAGCTATGTGACTCCTGGGTGAGCACACGCAATTTTCTGTATTCACGGCTGTGCTGTTGCGTTCGACGATTCCGTTACGGTAACCCTCGTGTGCACGCTAGTTTTAGATAAGAAAGCCCTTGCTCCGTTGCAAAAAAAAAACTTGTAAAAGCCGTTGCACCTGCTCCTGGAACAGCTCACTCGCTTCTGTGTGTGAAAACGTAGTTCTGGCTTCCGAAAGTCGGAACATCAGTTTTTCTTTCACTCCGGGATGCAGGAAAACCTGTCAAATAATAGTGACCAGTCCATATCGCATTTTGACCATCGGCGATTCTCCGGTGATTACGGTCATGTCATTTGTCACAGTAACAATTACCGAACCAAAATTGGTCAGTGTTAACCCGCTTGACTGGCCCCGCGCATCAGAGCAATTATAGCTGTCATTGTGGATGATTCCATAAATATTACGATTCGTGATGGCCTTTATAATTCTGTAGTTAACTATTTTTCAGTTACGAAACTGGCCTCTATCCTCACTATGCTCAAGGAGCGTATGCTCATGCTGTGGCCGCCGCTCCCATCAGTTATCCATCGCATTCCTATGGTGTCGCACAACAAGGTAATTGTTGTTCAATCCCTTTGAACATGCCGACAATGGACATCGCACCTCATTTTCTCACTTAAGGCACGGTTCCCGCTAGTAATGGCGGCTTTCCATCACCGCAACTCTCATCTGCTGCAGAAGAGGATACAGCGGCTAAGATTGTGGCAGCATTTGAGACCACACATACTCAAATGCGAAACATGAATCCGAATCCGACCATTGTTGACGTGAACAGATTCGCCTCTATAGTTGAGTTTTCTTCTTTTTTTATTAAAAGGGCACTTCGTTGGTTAGGGATCCCAGCGATACGGAGGAGTGTATTTGGTCGCTGGAGGGAGGGAGAACTCGTAACTACCTTCGAAGGAAATGTGTTCAATTATTGACTTCTCTCGATTTCCAACGTTCCACGAAAGCTGACCTCCTCCTCCGCTCGGCGAAACTTGATTGGGGAAACTGGAGAGATTAGAGATTTTTTGGAATAAAAAAAGCTTGGGAAGGAAGGAAGTTGAGAAAGTCGGGAGAATTCAGAACGGTTGTAGGTAGCATGAAGAGAGTAAATGGTTGGAGGGTATCATACAAATGGAGAAAATTTTGAAGTAGGGGTCGTAATTCGCAAATTTTTTTTTCTAACGACAGGACGTACCTTAATAAAATAGGACCCAGATAAGGTTATTAATGATGCTTATTAAGGACTTCCAAAATCGAATCGGCATTTGGCGGCAGTTCGCTGTTGACCTGACCACTGTCATACAAGCGATCATCGAGTTTGCGAAAATGATCGATGGTTTCATGCGACTCGGGCAGGAAGAACAGATCCATCTTCTAAAAGGTGAGCTACCGAGTACATTCCGAAAAAAATGCGCCAGTGATCTTGTGCGGTGCAAATGCCTAATGCACTCTCCATTATAAAGTCCTAATAAGATCTGAACAAAATAAAAAAATTCAACATTTGCTCGTTTAGGAGGTGTCTTCGAGCTGGCGATTGTGGAATTGTCATCTCGTTACTCGCCAGAAACTCAGACGCTCTCCATGGACAACATAGTCCTGCCATTGCATAATCTCAATATCACAGATCAAATAGAGGTAAGTGGTCATTTACCCTCTCTCTTTGTTTTGTAAATGATTTCGTATGGAATAGTAGAAAGATGAAAATAAGTGAAAATCAAGAAACCATAAGGAGGGCAACATGTTAAAGTGGAGTGTAATTGCTCTGATCATCGCTGCCTTCAACTTTTGAGGCAGGGGTGGGGGTATTTTGCACTTCCTGTACTAACCATTGTCGTGTCGAGCTATTAGGTAGAGATTTGTGAATAGAAACTACGTGTCAACTCTGTAAAAAATACTTGCCAGCTCTTCTAAGGCAATCAACACGACATTGAGCGATTCTACAAAATGCTCCCTCCAAGCCGAACTGCGCGTAAGAACCCTGGGTCCACGGCTTTTTCGAAATTCTTGAGCTTCCCGAGCCAGACCGAACACGTTAGGCGGGACATGGTGTTCGATCTACGAGTTCGATCTCCTCGAATCGGCATGTAGTTAAAAGTCCTTGCTCTATGTACCGTCGAAGTTTTGTTGAGGTGGAGCTCGTTATAGTCCGACATTTCCACCGAACTGGAAAAAACATTTACATGCCAAGGTTTCAGGGAGATTGAAGCTGTTGTTTTGAAGTCGTTGCTTTTGTTCGTCGTGTGCTCCACCCCCCTCTTCTTCCCTTCCCCCGCCCATATTTGGTCTGCTGCGAGAAACTGCTGCGTGCAGTTTGCGTGTGGTTTTGCCATCGTGTGTGCGCTACACGCCACATCCTTGAGCTAAGCTCTTGCAACTAGCTCTAAATAACAAAAACGACGAAGTACAACTCATTCTCCAAATTTCGAAAATCCGATGAATAATTCATTTCTAACTTTATTATTTCTAGGTGCGTTTCGTGCAAGAATTCCACCAATGCTTGCATGATCTGGCAGTCTGCCAAATGACGTCATCAGAAGTTGCTCTGCTTTGTGCAGTTCTTCT